GACTATTTGAAAACAATTTTTATCTTGAGTCTGTTTTGTTTTCATTAATAGCCAAATATATTACTAAACAAATCAAAGAAGAATGAAGCCAGATAAATGTGTGAGGACTTAAACAGAAATAGGAAAATCTTGTCTACATGCCCCTGAGAACATCAGCAGAACAGTACAACGGAATCAGCAGAAGATGTGGGATAATGGCTAATTTATATTCTCTTCTTGGTTTAAGAAAAACTAATTTTTCTTCTGCAAACCAACTTTGCATTTGGCATGATTCTAGGGCAATTGTATCTATACTGCTGACCACAGCTTTGACATAATGCCTGTTCACTCTTTGCTGAACCACCGAAGCCACTCTGTTCCTTATTGCCAATCACGTAGTCAATGTTAGCTTTTATGCACAACTATGAGAGGCCACTGAGAAATAATTCTCCAGTGGAGAAATTGCCAAGAAGAACTAAACATAAAGAAGTCGTTTCATTTATATCTCCTTGCCCTTGTCTCTACTTCTATTCTTTCTTGCGTATGACTTATTGTATATTGACTACACTCTGGTTATCTTATAGTTCCTGTTTCTTGTTAGGAGGTATCACAATATGATACAAGGTCATGTATAGGGTCTGAATTCATCCAGATGCTCTCCAACATAAAACTCTTAAAAACAAAGATTCCCGCATGTTCTTCTGAGCAGTTCTCTTACCTCCCCCCCCCCCGGTCTTTTCCTCTCTGAGAGTTAAACTTATATCTCCCCTCTTTTTCGCATGGGGAGACTATAGTGTAAATGAGAACATTGGTAAGATGGTATGGATTCAGATAACAAGGACCTAATTGTTAATATTTCTCTTTGCATTACTTAGGGAAAACCAGAGGCCAAAGCTGTAGAAGCATCTATTATGAACACAAAGCTATTGATAAGTACGTTCCAGCCTGCAGATCAAGCCTTTGGCTATTAATGTCTTCTCCCTCCCCGAGTTTATAAAATTGAGTCATTGTAAAAAGTGTCTTTGGGACTAACTATATGATTATGTGCCACATTAAATGGAGTTTGAAACCCAGGGTCAAAAAGATTGCTCTAAATTATATGAGGCTGGATTCACTGATTTGGTTTAAACCTAAGTGGGACAAAATTATGTCATCTGTGGCTTACTAATGTGGAGATCTTAACCTGTGCTCTGGTGGGCATTAGGTCAGCAGGTGGTTAATGATTCCTACTCAGTGCCTAGAATTCTGTTGCTATCATGGCATTTGGTTCAAAGAACTGTAGAAATTAAAGATGTGATCTTGGTTGACCAGAACACTGAGCTACAAACAATTTTAAAAATATATTATTAAGGCTCCATCAAAATTTTCTTATTTTGGGTCAAAAGTTTCAGGAATTTATATAAAAAATTTATATAAAAATGAATAGGAGGGTTAGTTGAGCATGAATTTAATGTCAGCAACAATATCATGCTGCAATAGATTTGGTGAATGTGAAAGAGTTTTGAATGGGGAGACATGGCATCTGAGTTTGAATTAAGGCTGTCTCTCCCTCAGTGATCACTTGCTTTGGACCAGTCTGTGGTGCTTTGTTTTCACACCAACACACTGGAGGTTGCACTAACCCCTGAATGTAGAGTTAAGGAAGCAAGATAAGCAAGCAAGAAAGAAGAAATGAAAAGTTGAGTGATTCTATGGAAGTAGTTTACTGAGGAGTCAATGGGATAATCTTGGAATATAAGATTGTGAATAGCCTTGTTGATATACTGTAATGAGATGGTAGTGCTAGATAGCTATTAGAGAATCAGAAAATCTTAATTAGGGGAATAACATGGTATAAATGTTATTGTAAGGGGATGGGAAGCATGCATTTGGAGAGAAAGTAAATAGAGTAGGACCTCTTAGGAGAATTTTTCTGTAACCCAACAGTGATATTTTATACTACTACAATAGTAACAATAGCAACAAACATATATTGATTCATTACTTTGTGGTAGGCATTGTTGTAAAATATTTTACATGTACTATCTCATTTAAGAAGCCAATATCAGAGATAGCTCAATAGGAAAAAATAAATAAAACAGAAGGATTTTCTTGGTAATACAGGAGCTAATATAAAAATTAGTCAATCATGACACAAAGTTTGAGTCTGAGGACTATCAAAATGATAACACTATTAAGTTCCAAGAACTAGTCAGTTTGAGGAGTAAGATTTGGTGATAACTTTTGACCAACTTGAATTTGAGAGAATTTGTCTAAAGAAATATAAAATATCAGACTAGTGAATTCTGAGCTATGTTTCAGTGAGGAGGCAATTTATGTATGCCCTGAAAGTACATGAAATTTCCAAAGAAGCAAAAATAGAGACACACTATCGTGATCAAAGAGCTTGGTCTTAGGGAGGAGAGAATCATAGATTGGTGATGTGGAACCAAAGAAACAAACAAAAAATTGGAAAGGAAGAGAATGGTTAGGAAAAATAAGAGATAAGAGAATTTCCAAAAGTCTGAAGGCAATGATCCAGGGAAGAGATCAGCAGTGAAAAATTCTGGAGAGATCAAGGAAGTTTGCTTGAAGCCTGGAACAAAACCAGGATTTAGCTAGAATGTCTAAATTGAAACTCTTTTCTTAATATTCACCAATATACTGACAATGGATATTGAAATTCACTAGTTAGCAAATTGGGTCTATATTTTTATAATGTTCAATAAAACTGATAAAATAGCTCCAGGAGATTAAACATTTTGAAGCTTAAAATCTTTCAAAAGGGAAATGAGACCTATTTCAGTTAAATATAATTAGAAATATGGAATAGACTCCAGTGACTGCCACTCCAACTGCTAACCTCACCCCACCCACTCTTTTTCTTGCTAGGAGTGCTGTAAAGTTATTTAGGTTTCCATCCTCCTCTGCCTGGACCTTTTGTTTCATTAGGAGTTAGTCCCACCTGCAGCCTCTGCAGGGAATTTTTCTAATCTATTCATGGTGGCCCTATACCCTTTCACTAAACACTGTCTCACGCATGGACATGTGACAGCCATCTAGACAGAAAGGCATCAAAAGGAATTCTGCTGGTACCTTCTAGGAGAGGTTTTCCTAACTAATAAGAAGAAATACAAGGAAGAATCTCACTTTGTCCTTCTAGACCTGGATGGGATGCCAGGAACCGCTGCAGCTATCTTATAACCATGAGGGAATTAGCTTGTGTGGCTAAATGGCAGAGCAGAAAGATAAAAGAAACCTGAATTCATGACACCATTATTAAGCCATTTAGCTTATCATGCCCCATCTCTGGGATTTTTCTTTTCTTCAGCTATTCACTTCACTATTATTTGTAGCTGAATGCAGTACAGTCTGAAAATGAGATTACTTCTTGGCATTTTCTTCCTCAGTCTTAATTTTATATTATTATCTTTTATTCAGATTTTTGTATTTTATTCCAGTGGAATTCTTTGTATAGAAAATATAACTACTCTATACAAGCCCAAATTCTAATTCCTAATTTTGTAATTATTGTTACAATTGAATTCTTAACTGATTGGGTTGGCTGGTGGTAGGGTGAGGGGAGGTAAGGCGAATGTGTGAATAAAGGAATGGTCTATTATTTTCCAATTTTCCTCTCCATAGTCATGGAAGAGATTTAAAAGGTACTGTGTAGAGCACTATTTCAGGGGAATTACTATAAAAACCGAAATCCTTACATAAAATTTTCAAGCCTTTGTTTTGGGCTCCCATTTTACGGCTTTTCTTTAGGCATCGTGCTTTCATTAACGTGTGCAAGCAAAGTCTCATTGTTCAATACAGCTCTCTAATGAGAAAAAATAAGAGTATGTATTGGGAATGAAAATTGTACATTTTTATGTGGAGGTTTATAGACTATTACTTCTAATTGAAATTTGAAGTTCGCCTTTACAGTTAAGGTGAAAGCAGAAAATCACAATTATGTCCCTCTCTGACATAACATGCTCAAGTGGCAAACTAGATTTTGACAAAGGGTAGCACTTACATGTCAAAAGAAACAGAGAGCTGGCGTTGTCCTCAAAGGTTAAATTTGAATGAAGTCCAGTGTCTATTAAGAGGCCATCTGCTCAAAGTAAGGACTTAAAAGTATTGGAAAATTTTTTTGCTGAAAATGGAAGCTGGGGAAGAGGAACGACCAAAGAACTGTCTGGGTGATGGAGGGCTGTGTTTAGGGACCTAGTTTGCTGATCATGTTTTCCCCAAACTAAGAACCCTGCTGTGCAATTCATGGGATTGCTTCAGAATGGACCCAGAGTATTCATTTCAATCATTGTAACAACTATTTTGGATAATATGTAAGGTAATTGAGGTTTATAAAACAATATTATATTTAGGAGTACTCAGAAATCTGCTGCTTCAATGCTATTACTTTGCCTCTGCATCCTCAGTGGGGGCAATATTGTCCCTGAGGGGATAAAAATTAGTCCTTGGGACGGGGTGGGGAAAATGTTAGATGTTACGTGGAAAGTTATACAGAATGTCTGTAGTTTTAACATTTCATGTCAAGGGAGTAGTTGGAAAAAATATCTAAAAAAAAAAGCCGAGGGAGGTAATAATGAATTTTAAAATTAATCTGTGAAAGGGTTTATTTACTATGTAAAGAGAAAAGCACAACCTGCCATTAGGCAGCCCATCAGAATCTTCCAGAAGCACCTCCGTTACATCGAACACATTATATAGAGAGTCAGCTTGAAAGATGCAAATCTTGTTAAAGTTTTTGAAAGTGGGTATGAATGAAACTTTTACCATTGTTTCAGAATTGCAGCTAAAAGATTCAGGTAAAAATAGCACTTCCAATGCCTACATGAGCCTATCCTAGGCCTATGAAGATGCCCACGGTCAGTCTGCTGCATCCTCCTCCCTCCCAACCTCCCCAGAATCACGTGGTTCAGGGACAAGCGTGAATTCCAAGACAGTTGAATGTGAGGGTGGCCTAGGAGGGGAGTTCTGAGGATTTCCCCCAGATGGGAAGAAGAGAGGAAGCCCTCCCAAAGACCACTTACGGAGATGAGGAATATTTGCAACTGAGGGAGGCTGACATCTCATTTCCTGGTGAGACCTCAGCTTGGGCAGCAGATGCGCGGATTTCACTCTTTGTCTATTTAAGCAAGTGGAAAAAGAGAGCAAAAAGTCAGCAGAGAAATATTCTGAACTCTTGCAATTTGCCCTGTCTTGCCTATATATGCTGTCAGTCATTAAGAGACTGTGAAATATGGTCAATGGAACCCTAACAACAAGATGCATGGGGTGTATCTACAGGAGGGAGGCTAAGGGTATTTCAAAACAGGTCAAAGCAGAGAACATCCCCCACTAGAGAACTGTGACTGTGACATGGAGAGATCTGCTCCAGGTGCCTCCTACACAGTTCACTGGTGTTCACCTGAGACAGTACTGAGACTGTTGTCACACAGAGGGGTGTTGATAATCCCAGGAAGAACACAACATCCACTTAATTAAGAATGGCTTTGTTCTTTTTTTTTTTTTAGTTTAGTTTTATTTTAGCGTATTATGGGGGTACAAGTGTTAAGGTTACATATATTGCCCATGCCCCCCTCCCCGGTAGAGTAAGAGCTTCAAGCGTGTCCATCCCCCAAACGTTGCACATCTTACTCGTTGTGGTTGTATATACCCATCCCCTCCTCCCCCCTCCCACCCTCCCGACACCCAATAAATGTTACTCCTATATGTCCACTTAGGTGTTGATCCGTTAATACCAATTTGCTGCTGAGTATATGTGGTGCTTGTTTTTCCATTCTTGAGATACTTCACTTAGTAGAATGGGTTCCAGCTCTATCCAGGAATATACAAGAGGTGTTTTATCACCATTGTTTCTTTGTCCTTTTAATCCTCTCCATCTCCACCCCTCCTAACCCTGATGAGCTTAGAAACAGGAGGGAAAGCAGTGGAGGGGCGAAACACAACCCTTTCCATCTCCAAGTCTAGAGGCTGAGAGGAGCCAACTTCTAAATTGAACTTGCGATAAAAGCTGTGAGCTAGTCTAGACCTAATCAGCCATCCTAACACCCGGACTTCCCTCACAAGCTCTGAGCATTAGAACTACACCTTTTCCCTGCCTTTCGCCCTAGTAGCCCTATTTAGACTGTTCAACGAACAGACTATTAAGTAAATCTCAGTAAGACTGAAGAACAATTTTGACTTTCTACAAGAACTTTCAAATAAAAAAAAATTGCTTAGTTAGAATATGGTCAACTTTCCTCCATATCTTTATGAAAATTCTTCTTTCAACACACTCAAAACCTTGGCTTAATGTCAAAATCATTTCTAAGGATTTTTCTTCTCATATTATCAGACTGATTCAACCACAAAGAATGACAGCCTTTTTTTCCAATATAGCCAGTGGGGATTGTTTTCAGTCTTAAGTGCTGCTTCAAAGACTTTCCTGGCCGTAAGAATTACCTAGGAGCTTTGGATACTGTTATGAATATAGTTTCTGAGGGTGTTATGGACTGAATTGTGTCCACCTAACGTGCATTTGTTGAAGCCATGACCCACAATGTGTATTTGGAGACAGGGCCTTTAGGAAGGTAACCAAGATTTAATGAGAGCATTAAGGGTGGGACCCTAATTCTGTAGGATCCTGTCCTTAGATATCAGATCTCTCTTCCTCTCTCCCTCCCTCTCTTCATCTCTCTTTCTCTTTCTCTCTCAACCTCTCCAAAGTTACAGACAAGAGACCATGTGAGGACACAGCCAAAGAAGTGGCTTTCTGAAAGCCAGGAAGAGAGCCTTCACCAAATCCCAAATCCTTGATCTGGGACTTCCAGCCTCCAGAACTATGAAAAAATAAATTTCTGTTGTTTAAGCCTTGCAGTCTGTGGTAGTTTGTCATGGCAGCTGGAGCAGACTACCATAGGGTCCTTTCTCTGAAGTCCCTCGGTCACTAAGTTTGAGATGGGTCTCAAGAATCTGTGTTGTTTCTGGGGTTTTGTGTTTGTTTGTTTGTTTGTTTGTTTGTTTAAGAAACCAGAATGTTTTTTTATGATCTGGTGAATCTGGGAAGAACATCTTTAAGGGATTATCCTTATGAATATTTCCTTTTGTATCTATTTCTTTCCAAGTCTTTTCCTCTACTTTTCATGGATGTTCCTCCATTTCAATGAATATCTTTGGATCCCTTACTGCCCCTTACTGTTCCAGGTGTTGGGAATACAGCAGTGAACAAAAATAAGAGAAGATTCCTCCCTTCCAGAATTTGACATTCTAGTGGAGATAAAGATAATATTTAATGATCACAGACATCTATTATTTAATGTCCAGTAGTGGTAAATGCTGTAAAAAACAAAAAAGGCAGATAAAATGCTGGAGAGGAAGGAGGGGTGGCAGAATGGCTCTTTCTATGAGAAGTCAAGTAAGGCCTTGCCAAGAAAGTAATGACTGGGCCAGGACTTGGATGAAACCAGAAAGCCATGTGCTCTTGGGGAAGAGCACTTCAGGAAGAGGGGAAAGCAAGTGCAATACAGCCTGACATTTCTTAGGGACATCACACGGGGCAGGATGCCTAGTGCTGGGGAACTGAGGAGGAAGGGAATGGAAGATGATCCTAGAGGGGGTGCAGGGGCCAGACCAGGCCCAGCAGGGTCAAGGTAAGGAAGCCAGCTGGTGCAGGGCAGTAGAAAGGTGTGATCTCATTTATTTCCATGTGGTAAGACTAGTGGGAAGCCAGTTAGGAGGCTACTGCAATTAATAATCAGGGTTAACTCCCTAAACATTGAGTTCCAATGAATATTATTATGATGTAATCAGTAATAATAACCAGGTCAAAGAAAATTAGGGAACCAGAGACTTGCTCTACCATTACCAGGAGAATATTGTATTTATTACACTTGGTTTAACATCAAATTTATAGATTTTTTATATTTATTCTTCCTCAGTAAATGACACTAGATGTATAGCTTCTTTTCATGGAAGAAGGCACCTTGGATCTGCCAGCCCCGCCCTCTGACTCTGCCATCAGGGCAACTTGCAAACAACTGCTTTGCTTTTCATAATGTGCTTTAGTAATAATGAGACCAGATACATGAAACACTTCCCCACCCAATTTACAATAAACTCATCCAATATTTTCTAGTCATATGCTTAGGTGGAGTTAGAAATAACTTCATTTGCACACAATGGGATTGTACCTTTAAAAGATTTACCTATATCTACTGGCACAACTCACCAACAAGCTCAAACACAGAATTTCCAAATAGCTGCTCTGAAAGTGTTCCTATCCTTTCCACAGGACAAAATGATTTGACAAAAGTGTTATTGTGTTTTAGATTGGGGTTTTAAAGTGATTTAATTATAGCCATAGAATGTTGGGTTTTATGTATCCTATCGACAAATCTAAAAATACACTTCTGATTTTAATGTTCTCTAAGGAGGTGTTGAGAGTATACTGGCTGCTCTTTCTTTTGGCAAAACCTTGATACTAGGTATGAATGCTTCCAATGGTATTTTTGGACCATTCTATTTTTAACTCTAATCCTTTTCTTTGCTGTGGTTATGGCCCTGAGTTTCTAAATTATAGTCTCTCCCACAGTTTCAAAAAGCTAATTCATGCCACCATGTGCATTAGGAAGGTGGTGTATATAATATTCCACTAAAGGAGACCCTAGGAACATTACACCCCTACTAGCAACTGGTCACGAGTCGGGGTTAGAACTGACGCTAGTCATTTTTCTTCACTGACAAGTTTTCATTATGTGGCTTTCCCAGAACAATTTAGAAATTGATCTGCAGCTGATGGAAGCTAGGATGAATTGGGGGCATACGTGAACCCAAACTATCAGAGCAGAGTCAGAACAAATGCTGGACTCCAGCTCTGAGGATAAGGCCAGGAACTTCCTTCCCTTCCCCTCCCCTATCTCCTTTTCTGGCAGGCAGCACACAAAGATTTCAGGCTCCTCAAATAGGGACTTCTTGCTGTGGGGACATCCCCCAGGTCTGGGGAGGTCCTGCAAACTTTTCTTTCATCTTTTATTTGCTAATCTCTTGCCTAAATAAGTCAGAGGTTCACATCCCTGAGAAAACAACATCCTAGTATGCACCAATTGATACCAAGGAAAGGGCTTTTTGTTTCTTATAAAGCTGTGTAAATCTGGTTCAAAATTGAGGGCACTGATCGAAACTCATTCTGTGTCGTTCTGGCATGCTTGAGGTCCCTGGGATTACCTGATGAGGGTGCCAGGGTGGTGTCCTGCCACCCTAGGAAACACTTAGAGAGTAAGATGTTTCTAAGACTGTTCCCAGGGGACCGAGCGGGTACAAGGACACATTCCGTCCCAAGGGCAGGTAAGGATGATGGCTGAAACATAGGCTGATAGAGGTTAGCCAAGCAGGTTGTTTTGTTATTGTTTATTGTGGCAGTAGTGGTGTGGGCGCGGATATGCATGTGTGTTATAGGGTGGAGGTAGAGGTAAGGGACAAGGAGATTGTCCTGACTGAAGAAAGATTGAGACCTCAAAGATAAACCTAGAACTACCATCCAGATAGGAGTTTATTTAAGCCAAAATAAATTACCCTTTTTTTTTTGCTCATTGCATACACTTTCTGTGAGTCAGTATTCAGCCCATTCCCTGGAACTGGTTAAGACATCTCACAGTCTGTCCCCTCCTCTATAACAACAATGACGTCAACAATAATGTATTGAACAGCCATTGTGGGCAAGGCGAAGTGCTGGAGGCTTTTTTGATACAGTAGCTAGACAGCAACTGGTGAACTTTGACTCCGCATAATCACATTCTTATATTGTGAGATCAGTTGAATTAATTAATGGGGGAATTTCACTCCCAAATTTTCTTGATTGAAGACAGTCCTATTCACACACACACACCAGAAGTGTTTGGGAGTGCTTCAGGGTAACTCTGCCCCACAACGGGAAATCAACTGAGTCCAGACTTGAGAACAATGTACTGGGTGCTGCCCTATCTCTCCGGCAGCTGCTCAAACTGTTTCTACCAGTCCCTGTTGTGACCCGCCTTGAGCCCACACATGTCCAAAACTCTACGCTCCTCAAGACTCAGGAGTGGGAGGCTGGCAGGGGCTGTGTAGAAAATAGCTGAGAATATTCTGAGAAATGAAGTACCTCGGTGTGAGGCCTCCTACTTTATTAACACTAGTTTTGATGCTTACCCTTGTTGTATCCTCATATCTTTTTAAAAAATACTTTTGTGGTTTGATAATGAACCAGTTTAGTACTTTCCATTACAGAGTTCAGAGACAAATTTCCCCACCTGCCTCCAGCGGAGTGATGTGTACACAAAGGCAATCCATCTGGTACTTACCTTTACAGCAATCATGTTAAGAAATTAAGGGCTATGGGAGGAACCTTGTTTCCTTGGCCTGTAGGAAGTATAGCAGGCCAAGAAAAATAATGAAAAAAATATAAATTGGCTAAAAATTGTATCTTAACTGAGTGTTTAGTATATTAAATATCCAACTAGGATTTTTTAAAATTATTATTTTATGCAGTAAAAGACACTCAAAGCCAAAAGACCAATTTTTCTTGTTTGTAATTTGTCCTTTGTGATTTAACCTATAAATCACGTTAATGTTTGGCTAATTATATAGCAGGACAAAATGATTGACAGTAACATACTCAGTGTGAGATTTGGAACCATCCCCAGAATCTTCTTTTTGGGATGATCCAAAAAGAGGTGAAAGGTAAGTCAGAAAGAGCCTCAGTGAGGGTAGTAGGGACTAAAAACCCACCAAGTAAATTTCACCTCCAATGGAACACTATACTATGCCAATAGTTTCAGCCTAAGTCCTACTTTCTTCTCAAGGCTGGGGTTTGGATAAAGAGGGTGAGTAAGATGCCTACAGAACAGGACAGCTAACTATTGACCTAACTTTCGTCTGTGTAACTTAGCTAAGGAACGGTAATCTTAGCTTAAGAACAAGCTGCTCAATAAACATTTTTTGAGAGAATTAATAAATGGATGAATGAATCCAATGTCTGTACTTCAAAAAAGCAACCTTTTATAAATGTAGAAGCTGATTTCAACCTTGGGAAGAGCTATGCATATAGCCCAGTTAGGTTGAAAAGTCCTACTCACCTCTGGTTATTGGGGGTAAATATGCCTTTGGGAGATTTGGAAGCCGAAGAGCTCAACCTGGTTCTTTATCCCTCTTGAAGACTGATATCCATTCTGGTGGTGCCATATCCTCTGTGGCGTCCAATACTGACAGCCTCTAGTAAGTTGTCCTTTCAGAGCTCTCTGCACCTTTCATGTAGTTAAATCAAGGACTTCAGACATGAGCAAAGAAGACCAAAAACAAAGATTTTGATGTCATGAACTAAAATGATCAATTTTGTTTCAATTTGGATACATTTCTGATCAATTCCATATGATAGGCATGGAAATGATCCCTCCTTGGAACATAAGATTATGAAAACTGTTTAGTAGAATACTGGTTATTATTTCTCTTTATGTCTAGCTTAGCTTGTCTGTTTGCATACCGATAGTCCCTTAATTGAAGAAGGATGGGACTGGTTATTTATATCTGAGATAAATTATATAAAATTTTGCTTAAATAATTTCAACTCCTGACATATATCCATTTGGATTACAACAATGTTAATCAAAACATTTATAAATGTTCACAAAGCTAAAAACTACCGAACAGTAGAACAAACTAAGGAAACACTCCATCATCATGCTTTGGGCAACAGTATCCTTTAATTGAAAAGGAAAACAAGTCAGTTTGGTTGAACATGTTGTCCAAATTAGTCATCAAATAAGATGATGGATATCAGAGTAGTTTGAAAATGTATAAGAGGTAATATGGTATTATAATTATTAGTAAATTTCTACTTGATTTTGAGTTATTTGAAACTATTTTAATTGTACACTATTTAATATTATATATCTTGCTGGGTTATGTTTCTAAATGATGATTATCCATTCTACACTTAGAAATAATCTGATTATGTGTGCAGTAATATAAATATTTAGCTATAAACATTCTGTGTCTACACAAGAGCAGGCAATCTTTGGGGCAGAGTAAACTGTGCAGAGAGTTGTAAGTGAAACTATTAAAATGTAGGAATCAATTCTAGTTTTTTCTGTCCTTAATCTTCATTTTCACCTTTGAATAACAAAATAAAACTTCTTTAACTGAAAATAAATCTCTACAAGTGGTATCTGGAAGCAGTGTTTAATGTCAATATTATTGCCTTTCAGCCAAATTTATTTTTTTCTAAAATCATGTGTTAGAAATGTTCACACTTTTCTTAGTCTATAAGACTTAATGATTTCTAAAACTATCAACTCACTCATTCTCTCACTGCAATAATCAATCATGTCTTTGATAGGTATAAATTAACAGATTGGACTAAATCAAGCCAATTAGTACAAATAAAACTCAATTCTAGAACTTTGTGTTTGAGCAAAACTTCTTCCACTACTTTCTGGGGCCATGTCTTCTTCTGGGCTGGGTGTAGAAATTGTTTTTACAGATCATTCCTGGACACCTGCAGAGCCTGGACTACGGATGGACATGGAGGGTCATATATTAGACATATTTTAAAGTTGTACCACAACATAATAAATGAGTAACTAAAACATTTTATAGCTTCCTATCTGGACCTTTGTAATGGGAAAATTTAAAAATAGACTTAATGTTCCTATTTTTATATTACTAGAAAATAAGAAAATGTTATTTCAACTTATTCTCACTGATCTAGAAGGTTGAAGATAGAATGTAACTGTGACCAAAGTATATAATACCTGAGTATATTTTAATTAAAAATATAAATTTTAAAATTAAAACATTAAATATTCTCATAATCATTTTCAAATTTGTTTTCCTATAATATCCAAAAATCTAACAAACTGAAGTACAATAAATTATAATTAACTTGTTCATAATTTTTAAATGACAGTATTTAAATGAAGTTAACTTTTATTTAATTTTTGAAACAGTTAAATCTTATTAAATCTTTCATAAAAATAAAATGATTTACTATTGTAGCATTCAATGCCCATCCAGTGGCCCATGTAAAGAGTTTGTATTATAGGTCATTTATGTTATATCTGGACTTAAATATGTACAAATTAAGAAATATTGAATTGTGTAATAATGCCAAATATTCTTCAGCCTCTGTGTCCAACTAATGTAAACCCTGTGTTAATTCATGTATTCTTTCAGAACTGTGGATTGGAAAATGAGAAGAATGAAAATGAACACTCAGCACCACCTGAGAAAGATACGTTATTATGGGAGAAGCTATTGCATTCCTGCTGTCTGAGATGATTTGACAAGTTAATGAATTTTTCTTTTCTCTTTCCTAAGTGCATCTGCTACTCAAATAGCCACTATGCTCCAAAGCAATGCCCACCTCCAGTGCCAGCAGCCTGACAACCCACATACCTCACAGCCTTTGGAAGCAATGCAAATTGTTTTGAGGTGATAGAGAGAGACATTACCCTGGGACCTGAAGAGAATTAGTTGCTAGAGCAGATGTTTAGGTTATAAGTTGTGTTGTGTCAAGTTCAGTTCAGAACTGCAAGTGATAGGAGTGTCCTTGTGTCTTTAGTAAAGTTAAGCCTCTTGTGTTTGTGATATTTGGACCCATAAAAGCATGCAGGACAGAAGCCCAAGTGTGCCTGGGTCTAAGGCATATATTGAATACGAGCCTGGTGCTATTGAGAATTATTATGTAAGGCTTGAAGATGAACTCAACACAGTAAAAGGTAGAGAAAATTGATGGCAAGAAACTGATTCATGATGAAAATGTATGAATTCCAAATCCTGTTGTACCTGAGCCCAATTAAATCCCTGAGATTTTCTTTTTCCTTTATTTCTCTCTTTCTCTCTCTCTCTCTTTCTCTCTCTTTCTTTCTTTCTTTCTTTCTTTCTTTCTTTCTTTCTTTCTTTCTTTCTTTCTTTCTTTCTTTCTTTCTTTCTTTTTCTTTCTTCCTTCCTTCCTTCCTTCCTTCCTTCCTTCCTTCCTTCCTTCCTTCCTTCCTTCCTTCTTTCTTTTCTTTTCTTTTCTTTTCTTTTCTTTTCTTTTCTTTTCTTTTCTTTTCTTTTCTTTTCTTTCTTTCTTTTTGACAGAGTCTTGCACCCCAGGTAGAGTGCAGAGGTATCATTGTAGCTCACTACAACCTCAAACTCCTGAGCTCAAGAAATCCTCCTGCTTCAGCTTCTCAAGTAGCTGGGATTGCAGGTGCATGACAGACGACTGGCTAATTTTTGCTATTTTTTTTTTTTAGTAGAGATAGGGTCTTGCTTTTGCTCAGGCTGGTCTTGAACTCCTGAGCTCAAGCAATCCTCCTGCCTGGGCCTCCCAGAATGCTGGGATTACAGGTGTGAACCACCACACTCAGCCTGAGATTTTCATTTGGTGAGAAAATATATTACTTTTCTTTTCTTAAGCCATTTTCAGAGGGGATTCTGTCTTTGAAACAGGAGGAATCACCACTGATACAATAGGAAACTATTCTCTTTCCGGAGCACTAACCATCAGGAAGTATCTTGCTAGCCTTGGCCTCATTTATTAGGATGTGTATAAGATTAGAGAGAAACCACTGGATTTATCCTTTAGCCTCAAATTCTGGATCATGGGTGGGTAGCATCATTTTTGTCAACACCACCCACCCCTACTTTTGCCTTCTGGTTTTGATTGGTCTTTCTCCATATGTCAAAGAACACTTTGAACCACTAGAAGTAACTCTAACAAGAGGATCATGAAGAAATATAACTATGCAAAGAAGCCTTAAAAAGAGCTTTCCAAAAAAGCATCAAAACTGCCCCACTGATATGTTCATTCATTACATGTGGAATTTATTAAAAGGGATATATACCTAATTTTGTAGCCTACTGTAGAAGACAGGATTGCATTTCTTAAATCTAAACAACCACCCATTAATGCTTAATTCTCGTGATTTGAAAATTTTTTCTAATCTCATTTTTCTTTCTGCCGAATAACGTTTTTTCTATATATTTAATCATTAACATAGCACTGGTGTTATTTGTAAGGTAATACTACCAAGAAGCCTGCCTGTACTCTAATAGCTTAGTTGGAGGCTACACATTCCTAATGATTATGCATTCATTTAAAGCTTTCATTGCACAGTAGCAAAGTCAACTTGGAGTAAATCATAAACTTCATTTTAGTCAATGTATCACATATCAAGATTTTTATAAGTACATGTCGAATTTTTGGTAAAGACCCAAGTCCTGAATCAGTCTTCCAAGAAAGAAAAAGGAAAAGAAAGAAAATAAAAACTTACAAAAATACAGTGGGTGGAATCATGCCCTGTACTAATAATCTATTTCAAAGAATACCTTCTTTCAGACTACACAAAAATATAGTGCTTACATTTTTACAAACCCACAGTTTATGTAGAAATTATTTTATGTTTAGATATCACTCACTAGTAACTGGTATTGAGCCAACCTGAGAACTACATAAACACCAGATTTTATACATTACATAGCTCACACAACATTTTGCTCTAAGCTGGTTAGTTACTTATAAATGTAAATGCAGTTTAAGGTCTAACCCCCTTGATAAATTCCTTGATCCCGCCATTTTTCCCCCAAGAAAAGTAAGAGAGAGATTGTTTTTTTATACACCAAAAGAAATAAAATCATACATGTGCACTTTTGTAAACTAGGAATTCCTGTTACTGTTACTATAAATCACTACCACATGTCAAATAGCAAAATGTTCATTATTCTCCCAAATAATAGAGTTGATTAATGAGGCACATTTACATTGTGGAATCTAGGTCTCTGTTATAACCAGACAAGGTTTAAGAAGTTAAAAATATCATGTAGATGGGGAAATAACTTTAGTGATCATGCTTCAAAGGCAAAGTAAATATTAGGCATCTTGGGGCAGGATTTGTCATCTAAGGGGTAATAACTTCCAAATGAAACTAGACTTTCTTCTTTAAGAAAAGAAATGATAGCTGTGTCACAAGACAGAAAGATAGATGTTTCTGGTCATTCGATGGCTCATGACTACTCAGTATAGGAAATACATTCCAGGGGAATTTGGGTGCCATACATAAACTCTTAAAAGCAATTTGATTGCTCTGATCTGGTTTCCCAAATCATCAACTAGTGTGATGATATTATTTGTGCAGAAGTATTATCCTAAGAAAACCCCCCTTTTCTACTGAATAGGTAGTCCTTGAAAAGGAACATCTACTTCAATGAAGCCTCCAGATTGCAAACAAAGTCAGTTGCCATCTGCAAGCACCTCTCTTAAAGTGACAGACTTTACATTCCACCCATCACTGCAACTGCACGCTGGTTCTCATGAATGGTGGAGATTTTCAAAATGTATTGAACATATTTCTTGCCTTTGCATTTGTGTTCCATTGTATGGAGGTGGAAGGGATTACAAAATAAAGCAGAGAAGAAACTGGACACTGGTAGCTAATCAGAAGTCTTTTGTCACAGTTGCCCTAAAATGACTAATGGCAGCTTAGGTCCATATGACTTTGTTCAGACCCTTTAAAATCAGTACGGAGCATGGTCAACCACAGAAACACGGTCATATGAATACCTACATGTAATTCATTTCTCAAGTAAGTGTTTCTTTACTTTTATACAGAGACATTTTCTGGGGTACATATGTATGTATATGTGTGTGTACTTTTGTGTATTTGTGTGTGCCTTTTAATTTCTTAGTAGGCAGTGGTAGGTAATCATTATTAACATTATAGATTCAATCACACACAAGTTTGAACTCTAGATTTGCTGTGTGGCTTTTGTCAAGTAATCTAAATTCTCTCAGCCTCAGTTTCTCCACAGGTAAAATGAGAATACTCATGAACATGATAGAGAGTTACCTAAATAATTAAATAAGATACAGCATACGAAATCCTTAGCATTGTATTTCACACAGTTAAGAGCTAACAACACTCCTTCCCCAATTAATATTAATAGTATTTTTCCAGCCCAGAGACCTTTCTGTATCTTGCCACACCCATCTCAGACTTCCAAGTTTCCCCTCTATTACCCTAGCTGGAGTTAGATGAACCAAACCAAGAACCAGGAGCGAATCAACTACTTAGCCACAAAGGGAGTCACTAATATTACTATTAATTTAAGAAGTGAAATATGATCCATTTTTGAAATAATTTGAAAACTCAGTGCCTAGAATTTAGATGGTTCTGTGCTGGCAGTTCCAAAGAATCACAGAACTAGTAGGGAGTTCGAGATCACCAGGGCAGACACCTTCATTTTGCAAATGAGGAAACTAAAATCTCAAGAGAATAATCGACTTGCTCCCCTAAATCTTCCAAGAGTTGGTGCTAGGACTGGAACCCAGGTTCATGCCCAGGATACACTCTGCAGCTCCTCTTTGGATTATCACTAGAGCCAAACACTAGCTTTTCTGAGAACAGCAAACTAAGAAAAATGGATGCTATAGAACCTGGGTCAGCCCTGTCACTGAAAGTCTGAAAATCGTAAGGGTGCGAATCACAGAGCATCATCTCATTAGTAGTTTATGAGGTTTTGTGAGAGTAAAAATGAGATAATGTATGTGAAAGTAAGTCATAAGAAAGAAAGTTTTATGTAATAATGAGGATTAATATTATGCATTCCTCATATAATCAATTCTATCCTTGTTAAATTGAATCGGATAGCAATTTGCTGAGGATACCTGGTGTTATACGGCCTTCATTCTACAGCAAAAGGAAATTTTCATTATGAAGAGGACAGAGGGAGAGGTAAAGAGCCATGTCTCACGAGCTCTTAACACAAAGTTAATTACTATTCCCCCACCTTGTAAGTAATTTCTGGTTTAAGATCTCCCAGCATCTGGAGAAGTCCAGGATTAACCTTTGTTATTAATGAAATAAGATAAGCCTAGGGTGACAAAGTGACTGTTTTAGAGCATACACTAAGTCTAGGTAAAAGTTAAAATCCAAAACCTAATGTGGATGGGAGACCTGGCTCAGTTACAGGAAAAAAAGTGATAGCAGCTGAATATTAGAAACTGAAGACAATCCAGAAAAAAGAGTAGAGCTTGGCATAGCTAAGCATTTTTTTTTTAATTTGCTTTCTAGAATACAAATATGGCATTTACCTAATAGTCATGTCTTATTTTAAAAAGGAGTTTTGCACCAAAAATCTTCCTGTATTTTCTCCTATGGAGAGACACATCCTTTATTATACATACGCTTGATAGCATTCATTCATGCTTCCATTCACATAATTGAAAAAAATCTTCTATTAGAAATTTAATCTTCTATTCAACAGAACCAAGAGCCCTTAAATAAGAGACAATAAATTGTATTTGGAAGAACCCACTGGTGTTCTCAAATGAAGAATAAAACTGTGCTCAGATTTCAAAGCCAATTGCCACAGGACCCAAGAAGAGCCGTTCTTTTTTTTTTTGACCAAAAAAAAAAAAAATCTAAAATATCTGAGTTGTCTGGCAGTGTTCTCAACAGGCTTCTACATTTTTGAGGCTGGCACTTCACACAGACTTTTGAAAGCCATCTCTGAGGAACCTGTTCAATATAGACAGAGGAAACAGAAAGGAGACAGTTGTCCTTCAGCAGTACAGATGAATAAAGTTCAAGGGTAATAACACAATGGCATATCTTATTGTCTTACAGCATTTGGGATTCCTTGGGCTCCCGACTAGAGCTTACTCTTTTAGTAATCTTCTTATCATTCCAACTTTTGGGGCAAGGGCAAGGGCTAAACTGACCTGCTGGCATACAACTTTGAGCATCTAAATACTGCAGATGTTGGACCACTGGCATTGTGCCATCCTCTCCACCCAGCTCTGCTCTGAACTATCCTTTGCATTAATTAAGGCATCCAGTTGCTAGAGGGTTTTATTTCACTTTGTTTTTAACAGCCCTTGGTAGTCATTTAATAGTGGCATTCTGCAATGGAGAATTAGAAGCTAGGTGCTACAAGTTGAATGAATTATTCTGCATGCATATGGCCAGGTCAATGTGTATAAAATAAAAAGACAAAGGGACATCCATGTTCATTTTTTCATCTTTACAATGAATAGTGATCACTATACATCAGTACAGCTGGAGCAATTACTGGCAATCATGGAAATGGCCAAAAATGAATTGACTGACTGTTCTTTCATCTAGTTTCCCAGCTGTATAACCAGCTGCATAGCCACAGCCCAAGATAAATCCTGGTTATGGCATTCTAAAGCTTTTTGATCATGAGACCACTTGTGGAAGCTTATTAAAGGGGTACTTGAGGATTCCATAGAAGTTAAAGCACCTGTGAGGATGTCTAACTCATGGAGGAAGTAACCATTCATCCACTAGGATCCCATCCGATGGCATGGCCACTACCTGATGGATATATCAAGGCCAAGGCAAATTTTAGAAAACTGGACAATACTCCAAATTGAGTAAGCCTTTGAACTCTAGTATTGTTAATCTTCTGCCCAGTTGTTGGGTGAAGTTTAAAAGTAAATGAATTTAAATAATAATAATAAAGATATATATTAATTGATTTACTTAGAGTACATTGATACTCATCAGTTTCTAAATGTATTCAAGACAGTGACACCCATATATACACACATGTATTAAGAAAAACAGATGCCACCATTTTATCATCTATTGATATTGCTCATGACATGTGGGTGGCTAAATAGTATTTAAAGTCATGTGACCTGTTAGATGAAACTCTTACCACTGACACGTTCTGTTATTTATTAAAGAAGTTTCGTTAGTTTAACATTAGTTCTGCATGAACAATACTTTTATATTTTCTGAGTCATCTTTTTTGCTTACATAAAAATAGAGCAACCTTAGCCCAGTGGCAACCAACTCTGACCTCTCTTATGCTTTCCATCTGCACTACATTCATCAAACCGTAGGGTTTGGAATCTGAAGTCTTTTTATGTAATTTAAGTAAGAGAGTGGAGAGAGGAAAGCTCTAATAAGCCTCCCCGAGGGGCACCCAAACAGCTTATAGCACCATCCCAGGGATCTGGGTCAGTGAAAGACCAAAGCCATCCTGAGAGCTTACCTTTGGACAAGGGCAAACTTTGGATTGAAAATGGGTCTGCATCTGCTTGTCTTACCCTGTGGAATTCTGAGTCTCTGAGGTTGTAATAGTTTGAAATAGACGATACCTCATATTTCCCCCACAATGGATTGGAATGTTTAGGTTGTCCTCTTCTCTGTCCCCATGGAAGCATCAGAGCTTCGGAATAAACTCTGGCCTAAGTGGACTTCGAAGACTGGAGAATGGAAATGATGATCTATTATCAGAACAACTTAACTGGGATCTTAGTGAATATTTTCCTTAGCAAAAATCGTGAAAATTCATGGAACACATGGCTTAATAATAGGACAGGATATTGGCAATCAGGACTGCCCTGGGAGTCAGAACTCTCCTTGGAAATCCAAAACACATGGCCCCAATAGTAATAATCCAAATTAATTTCCAAATGGTGCCACAGTGATTGCAAAATATCTGCAACACTAACACCTGAACATGTTAGATGAAGGTAATTGTTTGGGGTGAAAATAATTTACATTACTTCCTATATTTTAAAACTAAATTCCTTTTTGTACATTTATGTATGACTGCTTTTTTAAAAGCACTTGGACTTCGATATGCAAAGCATCAGTATCCCTATTCCTTTTTTGGTGAAAAGTAATTGCAGTTTTCTATAATTCCTACTTCTCAAAGAGTTAGTATTCAAGTGTGGTCTTTGTTATAAAAGATAGAAAGAATTTGTTATGACATGTGATGTTCTTCCATCAGCTAATTTCACTATTAGTCCTTCATCATTAGTGTTAATGAGGAGAAACAATGTGAGAATAATCCAAAAATAGTATGTAATCCAAAAGGCATGCGTACTTGAGTTAAAAATGTTTTGTATTTATTTTGGGGTATGGGTATGTCTGACATTATTGGCATTCTTATTACTTTAGCCAGTATAATTAAGTCATATTACAAAGAAATAGCTCAGAATGAGCAATATATTTCACAACCTATAATATTTTATTCAGAATGTAGTTCATCATCATGAATCTAGCCAATGCTGGTACTGATCTGAGAAATATTGGTACACGGTTTTTACAAGCAGCCTATCTCTTCCTTGCATTAGGTTCAATGTCCCCATTCCATTACTCCATACCTTTGTTGTTTATTTAAATCTTAAGTCCCCAAGACTAATGGTTCACTCAACTCTTCTACGCATTGCTAAATACATCCAACTAGTGAATAAATAGCCTATGTCAGACTCACAACTTGATTTGAATGAGAGAAGTAAAAATAAATAAAACACATGGTTTCTATATCTAGGACCTTATAGTTGAAATAGCCAGGACTTGGTATGAGAACCTCTGGGTCAAAGTCTTAGGTTTGGTGGTCACTATCTCTGTGATGTTACATAAATCAATTCACTTCTTTGGTTGCTAGATTCCTCATTAGTAAAACGAGTGGGCTGAAACCCAGTGCTTAGTGATTTCCTAAGTTCCTGCAGAGTTGCCTTAGACTGCAAGATAGTTCTTGAGGAAAGAGACTGCCAAGACTGAATAGGCAGTGTTCCAAGTGCTTTCTCCCTGGCTCAGAAAGAGCAATTATATATTTACCAGTTGATACATTGGTTACATTCATGTTCCATGTAACATTGTGGGGGGGGGAGAAAAAAAGAACATTGAATGACTAGATACTCTCTTCAGTTCTAACATACTTACGGTATAATCTGGTTAATTTTAATACCCATGGAATCCTTGAGAGTTTTTATAAAGCAATATAGAGTAGGTTAGACACCTCATAACAATTACGTTTGGAGATCTAAGTTTGAATAATGTTAGACTTTCTGGACAATTAGGATTGGGAGAACTTGGTTAAACTGAAAACTCCTAGAAATGAACACATGGATAAATAGACATGAGAGAGAATTTTTATAAACAAAGTTTTTAAATTGAGGTAAAATCAGTGATATTCTTTTTTTTTTTTTGGACAGGGTCTTGCTCTGTCATCCAGGCTGGAATGTAGTGGTATGAGGCATGATCATAGCTTACTGCAGCCTCAAACTCCTAGGCTCAAGCAATCCTCTGAGATCAGCCTCCTGAGTAGCTAGAACTATAGGTACCTGCCACAATGCCCAGTTAATTTTCCTATTTTTTGTAGAAATGGGGTTCTACTATGTTGCCCAACCTGGTCTCAAACTCTTGGCCTCAAGCAATCCTCTCACCTCAGCCTTCCTAAATCAAAGACATTCTTTACATTTTAAATAGCATATAAATGGGACCTGATCAAATTAAAAAGCTTCTGCACAGCCAAAGAAACTGTCAAGAGAGCAAACAGACAACCCATAGAATGGGAGAAGATTTTCACAAGCTACACATCCGATAAAGGGCTGATAACTAGAATCTACTTAGAACTCAAGAAAATCAGCAAGGAAAAATCAAACAACCCTATTAAAAAGTGGGCAAAGGACATGAACAGAAATTTTTCAAAAGAAGACAGAATAATGGCCAACAAACATATGAAAAAATGCTCAACATCTCTAATCATCAGGGAAATGTAAATCAAACCCACAATGAGATATCACTTATCTCCAGTAAGAATGGCCTTTATCAAAAAGTCCCAAAACAATAGATGTTGGCCTGGATGTGGAGAGATAAGAACACTCCTACATTGCTGGTGGGACTGCAAACTAGTTCAGCCTCTGTGGAAAGCAATATGGAGATACCTTAAAGCAATACAAGTGGATCTACCATTTGATCTAGCAATCCCATTACTGAGCATCTTACTCAAAAGAACAAAAGTCAATCTATGAAAAAGATACCTGCACTCGAATGTTTATAGCAGCACAATTCACAATTGCAAAGATATGGAAACAACCGAAGTGGCCATCAATACATGAGTGGATTAATAAAATGTGGTATATGTATACCATGGAGTTCTATTCAGCTGTAAGAAACAATGGTGACATAGCACCTCTTGTATTTTCCTGGCTAGAGCTGGAACCCACTGTGTAAAGTGAAGTATCCCAAGAATGGAAAAATAAGCACCACATGTACTCACCAACAAATTGGTATTAACTGATCAACACCTAAGTGGACATATAGGAATAACATCTATTGGGTGTTGGGCAGGTGGGGGGCAGGGGAGGGGTATATACATACATAATGAGTGTGATGTGCACCAATTGGGGGATGGACAGGCTTGACACTCTGACTTAAGGGGGGAGGGGGACAAGGGCAATATATGTAACCTTAACATTGTACCCCTATAATATGCTGAAAAAAATAAATAAAAATATAATGATTGATTTTTATGGATCTTTGCCTTGAGACAATGAGGGTCTCTTGCCACTCTTGGGGGTGACATGGGGTGAAGATAAGAAAGAGAGATTGTTACAGACAACAGGAGCCTCCTGACCTCCTTCTCCTCCACTCATGATTTTTCACACTTTCTTTCTGAGACACTCAAATCTGATTTGTAGTTAAAATTGCATGACTATTGGCCACGTTTGAATGATCCACTCTATTTCAAAGAAGACTTTTCTATCCTTTGAAAAAGAAAATGAAATGCAGACTGAACAGAGATGTTTTGAATGTCCATTCTGACCCCCTTATATATTTTCCACAAATCATTCTTGCCCTTTCTAAAGGGATCCACTTCCATCTCTTTATCAGCATATTCCAAAAATAGAGTAAGAAATGGCTCAGTGATTAAGAGACAGCTTCAATGTTGGCATTAAATCCTTCTGTTTCTCTTCATCATCACGGAATGATCACAAGGTCTTCTGATAGAATATGAGAGTGAAAATCAAGCTGTTTGGCAATCACTTGACTCAATGTGTTTGAATATCTCAGTAACCAAATGTTTTACAGATGCTTTGTCTTAAAAAAAATATGTGTGTGTGTACTGCAGAGGAAGGATCAGAGTGAGTGTAAAACAAGTGAAAGCTGGAGGAGATTTCATTGGGGAATACATGTGGAATGCTTCCTTTTCTTTCTCTACCAATGCATTCTTTTATTGAGGACTTGAGGTCTCTTTCTCTCAGTTCTTTTTGGCAATGATTCCCTTGGAGGTTCAAAAGTCAAAGGATGCTCACCTTTCTGCAAAAAGCACTCATTGAGCAGTGTTAGAAATCTTAAAAAACAAAAATATGGTTATATTCTTTCTATTGTAAAAAAGAAAACAACTCACAGAAATCTCTCTCTTACTAACTATGGATGCTCTTCCCTTCTTCCATTTTCTGCCTCTTCCATACAGTCCTCTACCAAAGTATGAAAACATCTATATAGGTAATGAAGTGAGTTCCCATTAAGAAAATCAAATAGTTAAAAATAAAACTTAAATATTTGAAATTGCAGTACCTTTATAAGTCTCCTGCTTAAACTTCTGAAGACTCCACAGTGTTGTCTCAGTTAAGTCCCAGCTTCTTAACATGGCTTTCCAAGTTTCTTCATAATCTGGCCTCTCCTTACCTATTCTGCCTCAGCTCCTTAACACAACTCCTTTTAGATGCTGCCCCCAAGCTTGCTGAATATGTTCATTTGGGGATTGTCAATCTCTTTCTCACTTCTTGCCTAGAGCAAATGGGGTTCCCTCAAACTGGATCACTCGTCCCATTGTTGGGTTGGCAGTCTGTTCTAGGTTCTTGGTATGCTCTTGGCTAAAGAATGACCAGACACACTGACAGCAAAGCGAGCATGAAACAAAGTTTATTGAGGAAGAACAAGATGGGTTTATAGAGCAAGACCAAGATACATTTGTCACAGATGACAAACAGGCCCCCTGTTGTAAAAACAGGCCCTGGTTATGGTCTGGGTTCCTGTTTTATATTATCAGGATTGGGACCTTCTCATGGTTCAAATGTCACCATTGAACCACTTTGATGGACAGTCAATAACATGGTATTTAGTCTTAGGTTACTCTAGGTCATTTTCTAGATCCTATTGTGCCTGGGCTCGAAAATTCTCTGCATTCTTTTGAAGATTGGCAGGGTGTTGTTCCTACTTCCCCCAGGTGTGGCAATTGCTAGGCAGCACCCAGGTGGGGTGACCAACTGCTTTTGTCTCTAGGAGCGCTGGAAGTCCCTCTACCTAACACCATGTCTCCCCCTAGTCTGGTTCGGTTTCAGCAAAGATATACCTACCCCAAGAA